TTATAAACTAGAGATTCGAGGTTTTGAATTTGGATGGTTTTGTTTACCATGGATTTGGGTCGCCCAACTGTTAAGGGCATTTCATTTGAATTTCTTGTGGAAAATACTTAGATTCATTTATTTTATTGAGAATTATTTTTGACTTTTTGGACACTATTTTGGTCGTTTCCGGAACCATGAGTATTTCGGTTTGTTTAAAAGTATCGGGTCATTTCATACACAAGCAGTTTTTTGTAAGAATAAAAAAATCACTCTGTGTTGTTGGGTGTTTATGACTTATGAGAACTGGGATTTACCATCTCTAACAGACTTCTCATTATAACAAAAAAAAGGAAAATTAGAATTTTGTCTTAACGACTTAGGTACTCTAATTTGTTGGTGAATGGGAATGGCAATGAGTGGAATTTTTATTACTCTTATGGCAAATGGGTCGTATTTAAATGAAATCATATATATTTTTAACGATTTTGAATTTAGGTTGGTTCTGAATTGAGTCTAATTGGGGTTCTATACATATGAATCTATTTGGTTTTAGATGATTGTACACACAAAAATCATTATTTAGTAATGACACATAAAGAATACTATTTTATACTCATATTTTATGGCAGGTTTTGCATTGATTCCATATCTTTAGTACCAACACTGTAGTGATTTCGAACACGAGATATAATACATTCACTTGAGAATACAAGGCTTCAAATGATATTCGAAGAGAACCTTTTTTGTCATAGAAATCCTTGCGGATTAACCAGGTAAATATGAGAAGCCACAACCATTTCGGTCCCTTATGGACTCAATGACAGACCAAATAGGCGAAATTATGTAGAACATTGCTTAATTCAGGATAGCGTAAGGCATTACGTGCCACGGTTTTGGCAGCCCGATTCCCTTATCGTGGAGTAAAAACAAAATGTTATAGAGGGAGATGTTGTAATAACTTCACCGTAAATGGCACCACACCGATCGATCATCATGCGTGTCACGATCCTCCAAGTGCTTTAACAAGGCTTGCACAGCACGCACCACTAATTTGGATCGATCGATCCTCCCATTCCCAATGGCAAATAAGCATAAGGGAACGACGAATAGCCAATATCTCCACTATAGTATGGAGGCATCCACAATACCTGGTAGCGAGCACCCAAAAGCGAACAAAGGGAGGCCACCCTCAAAATTAAACCCACAATATCTACACCACCATGTGTTGGATAATTTGTAGCACCATCCACTGCTAGCCGGAATCCTGGCGAGAGATGTGGGGTTCGTGATCGACGTTGTTGCGGTAGTGGGGGTACAATGTGGGGTTGAACACAAACTTGATTGTGAGATAGAAATTGACGATGGAGGGTGGATATGGTAGATTGGGCATGGGGGAGAAACACGACATTATTGTATTGCGACTTCCAAAGTCGTCAAAATAAAATAGTAACACCCACTTGGTGATAAGAGAGTGATCACCGTTATAGATTAGGTGCCGCCAAAAGATTGAGATGTGGGTAGCAATAGTAATACCCATCGGTAGTTGTAGGTTAAGCACATGCCGAAGCTCCTCCGCCACACGACGACAACGGAAGAATAAGTGTTGGAGGGATTCACCCTCCCTCAATAGATTCGCAAATCGGACTCAATTCTTCAACTTGGAGTTGCAGATCTTCACGAACTGGTAAAATCCGGAGCATCAAACTCCATAGGAAGATTTTTAATTTCGGGGTAATCGAAAGGCTCCACGACTTGGGCCAAACCGCAGGATCCAAAGGGGAGGCAGAGGAGATTCTAGCCTAGGTGGTCGTGGGGTAGGCTCTGAGAGATGGTATGTCGATTTTACAATAAATAATCCAGTCCAGTGGAATGATAATGCCAAATATACTGATCGATCGGTGGAAGGATGGAAAGGAAGAGGAATCGCCAAAATATCGGATGGCATCAAATAACTCATGTAAACATCCTTGGTTCCACGTTCCCCTCGATAAAATAAGAAACAAAACGAGATGCACCTCCAGTCGGGGCCAACAGAGTAGGCTTAAAGGATGATAAAGATGGCACCCAAGGATCCGTCATAGCATCAATCGAATCCCCTGAACCTACCTCCCACCGTAACCCTTTCAATAAGAGATCGCGATCATGCAATAAAGATTGCCACGTCCAAGAGGTGTTGCAGCCCACCGGCACTGAAAGTAGCGATGTTTGATGGAAATAGGGCCCTTTAAGCACGCTAGCAACCAATATATTCAGTTCCGTTCAAATACACCAACACTGTTTAGCAAGGAGAGCTTGGTTAAAGGCCTCAAAATCATGAAAGCCAAGACTTCCATTGGACTTAGGTTGACATAAATGTTGCCAAGAGACCGAGGGAAGTCGTTGTTCCGTTCCTTGCTGACATCACCAAAACTGGGCTATCAAACGGTTCAGAGCCCTAGAGGAAGGCGAAAGTAGAACATATATAGCGTAAACTGGTAAGGCAGAAACCACATATTTAATCAGAGTTTCAAGGCCAGCGGGGGATAAACTTCGTCGCTTCCAATCCATCATTGCAACCAGTTGGCCACTGCCTCCCCGATAAAGCGGAACGTGATTCGTTTCGAACGATGAACAAGTGACAGCAAACCAAGATTACCATCTTTTGCACCAACGGCCCCCACTCGTAATGTAATAGGGACCCAAAGTAGGTCGCCTCTCCCAGGGTGGTGTTCTTAGAGAAGCAAACTGCTGACTTTGATAAATTCACTCTTTGACCACTCATCAGCTCGTACCGACGCAAAACGCCTAATAAAGAGGAGTAGTCCCTGGCCGAAACCCATATAAATAAAAATGCATCATCGGCAAAAAAAAAAAAAAAAGACAAAATAGGGCAATGATGATTAAATTGGACGGATGCCTTTTAAGCCAGGCAGTTGAAGTGATTGAGTCAAAAGAGACGAAAATCCTTCCGTACAAATTGGAAAGAGTAAAGATGACAACGGATCACCTTGACGAAGACTTCGGGAAGGATGAAAATACCCATACGAACTACCATTGAGAAGTACCGAGATGGAAGTGGTAGAGAGACAATTCCGAATCAACCTAATTAGATAAGGATCAAACCCCAATGCGCCCATCAAACGAAAAAGGTAAGGTCATTTTCAATATCTAATTTTAGGGCCATGAATCTTCCTTGCCAACACGCTTATGCTTGAGATATGTCATAACCTCTTGGATAATGAGCACATTATCCACAATGGAACGTTTCTTGACAAAACCATTTTGATAGGAAGAGATGACATTTGGTAAAATTTTGCCCAAACGGTTAGCAAGAATTTTAGAAATAATTTTGTAGAAAACCTGACGGAAGCCGACCAGACGGAGTTGGACACGGGTTTCAACATTACGAACTTTGAAAGGACAAAGCAAATGCCCAGTTTGAAAAAAGGATTGGACTCATGTCCAACGACATCCCAGTAATGTTGAAAGAAGAGGGCAGAGGGCCCGATTTGGAACACATTAATTAATGATAGAGCAAGTGACCGGAGCTAACAAACAAGGTAGAATTCATGTCCGAAGTAACCCGCGGTGAAATGGGTAACACATCCACAGCAGCCTCAATATTAGTGGCCAGCCCTTCAGATGAAAATAAATGGGAGAAATGAGAAACCGTCTCCAAGCCCTTATCATCTTCTTCAGTGACTACTGTCACGACCCGAAATGTCGTGACCGTGTTGATCGTCTGAAGAACGCTGCCATCTGGTTGTCTTGCCATGAGAAGGGTAAAGGGGGCGACATTAGCGATAAGGCGTTGTCTGCCTGTGCATCGCATCTAGCCGAGTCAGGATGTGGCTATGAAGGGGATCGTTGCAAGAGAAGGCACAACTGGTCGGAGGCTATTGCCGTCTCCCTGATGAGCCCAAGGCAGGGCGAAACCAGTTGGCATGCGTATGCAGAGAGGCTGGTCTTGAGGGATGAGTGCACCTCAAGACGCCGCACGGACTTCGGAAGTCTATGTCCGTGACAAATGGTATCAGAGCCTGGTTAGGCTGAAGAGCCTAGTTCCTCTCTCAGTACGGCATAGGTCGTGTATGGGCCGACCCTATGCCCGAATGAGAGGCGGTCCTGGGTGAGCATATCAGGCGGTCCGGACGCAGATACACGTGTGTTGCGCCGTTGTGGGGGACCTCGACAGGCTGAAGATGCAGCGGCCGAGAATGCCGTTCAACCGAGGAACTAACGCTAGCAAGAGCGTAGGGTGAAGGTCGATTGAGGTACAAACGCTGGGAGTAGCGTAGGGTGAAGGTCGCCTGAGGTACTAGCGCAGCAGAAGCAAAGAGTGAAGGTTGATGTCGAGGGGCGAAGCGGTATGTGCGCGGGGCACAGCAGGCTAGCGCGAGAGACGCGACCGGAGCCTGTCCGTCAGAGGATGGTATCGTACGCGGACGCCCACAATTGGTTCGAGAGTTGCAATACATGCTGCGGAGAGAAGCATTCTTCACCAGCACGAGGACGTGCTGCATTATGAGTGGTGGAGAATGTCACGACCCGAAATGTCGTGACCGTGTTGATCGTCTGAAGAACGCTGCCATCTGGTTGTCTTGCCATGAGAAGGGTAAAGGGGGCGACATTAGCGATAAGGCGTTGTCTGCCTGTGCATCGCATCTAGCCGAGTCAGGATGTGGCTATGAAGGGGATCGTTGCAAGAGAAGGCACAACTGGTCGGAGGCTATTGCCGTCTCCCTGATGAGCCCAAGGCAGGGCGAAACCAGTTGGCATGCGTATGCAGAGAGGCTGGTCTTGAGGGATGAGTGCACCTCAAGACGCCGCACGGACTTCGGAAGTCTATGTCCGTGACACTACTTGCCCCGTGGGTTGGCGAAGAGCAGCAACAAAATTCTGTCCTACTACGAGTCTGAGTTTAAGTTCCGCATGCAAACAGTACATCGGAGAGCCGACTACAGGTAAGTTCCAAAAATGTTCAATGATTAACCGAGCTTCCGGATTAGAAATCCAGCGGCTGTCAAAACGAAAAAGACGTTTTGGTTTAGAACGACGGCGCTGCCAGCGACCCGATATCGGAGAGATGAGTAAAGAACTCGGTCCAAAGTCCAAACGAGTTTCCACCAACAAACTCCCAGAACCGTGATTAGACCGGGTAAATGTAGGACCACGGAATCCAATATCAATCAACCCAAATTATTGTGTGTATAATGGTGAACAGTGCAACAAAATAGAAAATGGGGAGCAAGGTTCTCCTTCTATACAATACAAGGGAGACTCTGAAGCCGAGGAGCTTAATCACTGCCGGACCAGCGGTCGCGTGTTGTCCCAAAGCCATTGTGAAGCAGAACCTTCAACCAGAGGAGACACCTGTTGAATATATGTACATTACCTTTATGATCAGTTTCACCAAAGACAATCATTATCAAAACACAAACAACAAAACTATTTGCAAGTCTCTCAACTGATAGACAGGATCCTTTTTACCTTCTCCCAGACTTGTGAATGGTAATCGTTAAGCCAATCAATCTCTGCATCAGATAGCAACGATACTTCCACCATTTTTTTCTGCATCCCCAACAAACCAAGATGATCATGAGAAATGGCAAAAACCCGGAAAGTAGAGAGGAAAAAGTTTGCTCCTTGGATATCTTTTTCTTCCCATCCATGGACACATAAAAGAAAACAAGTTGGGAAGGGAACAATGGAAGTAGTTCTTCTAGATAATATGAGGTGATCTTGACCTGAATGGGGACGAACGTGAGTTTCTCAAAAGCCAGATAGCCTATTCCCCCAAAACGGTATTTAGTGTTTGCCTCTTTCACATGAAGGAGATTCTGTGATATAAAGCCACCAGAGATGAATTTCAAGCGGTTAGGATGAGCAGGTTTGTAGATCCAGTCCAGTGAATATTGCAACTGTACCTCAATTCGGATTCCAAAAGCATGATCTTCGTAGTATCCAGGCTCGTTGCTGACTATCATGCCCTTCTGCAAGGGAGTCGTGTTCCCATATCGGAAGCTGATACTTTGAGGGCCTTCGTGAACATTCAGAGCAGCTCCCACGCCATGTCCCGTCCCTGACAGAATTTTTAGGAGACGAATGAGGGCTTGAATTATACGACATTACATGATTTGAGAGTTAAAAGGAAACAAATGTACCGTGGCGGTAATCAAGGCCGATTTTCCATAGAAAGGAACGTGCAAACGCATCCAGTACAAAGCCAACGGTAGTTGCAGGGAATACTGCTTCATCCAGTGCAATATGGCCCTGCCATCAATCATCAACTGAGAAAACTACAATCTACTTCTCGACTCAATTGACATCCCATGAGAAGTTTAACGATGAATCTACAAAAAAGAAAAGCTTTGAAAACCCAACAAATTCAATACCTGTAAAACCCGGGTGAAGCATTCCTTTTCATGTGCAGTTGGTTCGCCAAAGTGCACTGTCCTTGTTATGTCTGTGGTTCCATCAACGTATTGAGCTCCACTGTCTAATAAAAAGAGCTTCTTTGAATCCACAATGCTACAATTCCCTGGTTCAGGTCTGTAGTGTATGATTGCGCCATTTGCACCAGAACCTGCAAAAACATTCTCATGTTAGTGAAACAGCCATCAAGCGGAAGGATAAACAAACAAGGCCATTGTTCTTGGAATTTGCTAGGTCTAATAGAGTATGAGGGTTAATGCAGTACCACTAATTGTATCAAAGCTAGTGTCGATGAATCCATCCTGTTGTTGACGAAATTCAAGCAGTTTATCAGAAACATCAACTTCTGTTAGCTTTGCACCCTTGTGAATTTCATCCTCGAGCCAAGTCCAAAACTGTGCTAAGGCAGCTGCATCTCTGTACGATTTAAAACATTATAGGCCTCAGCATATGCAAGAATAATGAACTAATAATGCAAATTCTACCATAAAAGAAACGAAGTAAAAAAGCTTTAGATTGTGGTAAAAATGAATTTAAGGGAAGAAAGTCACCTCAGGTGAGCATTTCGCATGCCTTCTAACTCGCAAGGATTTTTCACAGCTTTTGCCAAAGAGATAGGGGATGCCCTATAAACTCCACATGGTCCCCAAGATTGACCACTGGAGCCATTAGATACTTTAGGATTCTTACTCTTGCTGTTATCTTCACTTCCAAGGCTTTCCAAGTGTTTGTCACCAGCAGCCTTGTAGGTATTCGCTATGGCAGCATTAATAGAAGATGGATCCAACCATAGTTCAGTACCTTTCAACGCCAAACTGCAACATTAAAATCAAATCCCAGTAAAACTTTGCCGAAAAGCAAGGCCTAGATCAGAAACAGAAAACCAAGTCATGCAAATGTAAGATTTCTTATATCAAGGGCATATATCTTGTTGTGGATGATACGAATATCTGCATATTGCCAGATGTGCTGCCAATAAGCAAGTTATATAGAAACTTAACTGAATGGAGAACAGAAGATGAGTACCCACCTCTCAATCTCAGAAAGAATGGAGCCATATGGCCTCAACTCGACACCTGCATTCTTCAAATGGTGTGAGACCTCTGGAGTGACTTTTGAACTATCAACAAACAATTTGGTATCATCCATCGTGACCACCAAATATGCATACATAACAGGAGAATTGGGAACATCGCCGCCTCGCTGCAATAAAGAATCAAAATGCGTCCTTCACATTATAAATGCACAGCGGAAAGATAAGATTCGATTGAAAGGCAACAATTCTCTCAAAATATTACCAAGTTCAGGAGCCAAGCAATTTCATCAAGCATCGAAACAACAATCGCCGAACAACCAGCATCAACAAGCTGAGACCTGAGAAAAGATAACTTCGACACAACATCGACGCCAGCATATTTCAGTTCATGCACCCTGATAGGCGAATTTGGAGGACCTGGCCTCGATTCTTTCCATATCTCATCCACAAGGTTCACATCATACAAGTAGACTAGTTCGTGATCCTTCCTCGCTATGTCTTCCTTCAATTCCTCAGCAGCATCAAAAGAGAAAAGGAACTGTTCTGTTCACATTGTCAAAAACTATCAGGAACCCATCGAATGAAAAGACTTAAACCAGTTTCATCGAAGTCAGATACAAAATTGCTCACAGGATCAATGCCAACTTTGGCTCCAGGAGCCAAGACATCATTCAACCATTCACTAGCTGTTGGAACTCCAAGATTCCCGGACCGCATCAGAATCCAACTAGAATTCAACTGCTTCTCACCCTACACCATATCAAAGTACGAAACTTCAACAATCGAATCACCTACAAATTAAGCTGCAACCTTTGCACTTTTTTCCCAAACCTGGAGAAAATAACGGCCATCCGTCCAAAGAGCTGCCTTGTCCTTAGTAACCACAGCAGTCCCCGCGCTTCCGGTAAACCCAGAGATAAACCCTCTCCGCATATAACACTCGGCAATGAATTCACTCTGTTCCAACCAAATCCCTACTCACTAAATAAGCTGAACAACAAAACCGAACATCAATGGAGAAGGGAAATGACATTTGATCCCCAAACCTGGTGAGCATCCTGAGAAGGGATAACGTAAGCGTCGATTCCAATCCCGGGCTTGGAGAAGAGCTGGCGAAGAGCTCGGAGCTTCTTGTCCTCTGGCTTGGAGCTGTCTAAGGAGCCCTTCTTTTTCCGGAGCTCAGAAGACGGCTTGGCGGAGATGGAACTGCAATTCCGAATCGAAAGACGGGATCTTGATTGAGTGAATTTGAATCCGGGATTGGTCCGGAAAGTCGGGAGGATTGGTTTGGGGAGAAGGGAGGAAGAAGAAGAAGAAGAGAAGAATGTAATCGGGGAAAGGTAGCGAGAAGATGAGGAACAGCAAGAGAGGTAGAGCGGCCGCATGATTGGCGATGGTAGTGGCAGCAAAGCAAAGCTTACCGAGAAGCTGAATTTTTTCCTGATTTCTGGTTAAAGAGTTCAGAGCCAAAAGATAAGAAGACGACGACTGGAGTCGGGAAACAAATCAAACAATTGAACGGAACGACGTCGTTACGGCAGTTCCCCATTACTTAACGATGTCGTTTCGTTGTTTGAGGACAGACCTTTTGGAAACCTCTCACTCTCAGATGCTGCTACAAGGAAAAAGTGATCACCTTTTGCTTCTCGAACTGTGCTGTAAAGTTGCACAAAGAAAAAGCTTCGATCTTTTCCCATTTCCATTCACTGCCTTCATTTCTTCCGATCTCTACCCTGCTGCAGATCTTCGTTTCATTTCAAGGATTTGGCAATGGCGATCATCACTGAGGAACCAGAGCCGTCGCCGCCGGCGAAAAGCCCAAAGCCTAATGTTAACCAATCTGAGCCCAGCTCCAGAGTAGAGAGTACTAAGAATAGCAGCAGCCCATTTGTTTTCTGGTTCTACTTTACTCTAGGAGTGTCCGTAATCACTCTATCAACCGTCTTCCTCTCTTCCTTTTCCCCATCTTCCGACCCCAAATCGTTTTTCCTCTCACTCTCCACACCACTCCGGCAACACTACTCCAAAGGCCGGATTGTGAAGGCACAGCTCTCTCTGAACCAGAAGCCAGTTGAAGTTTTCGTTTATGAGAGCGAGAAAGGTAAGATATTTGATGCTGAGAAGGTATTGATCGTTCATGGGCTAGGTTTGAGCTCATTTTCCTTCAGAAAAGTTGTCGACTTTCTTGGTTCCAAGGGGATTCATGGGATTGCCTTTGACTTGCCTGGAAACGGGTTCTCTGATAAATCGAGAGAAGTAATGGAAGAAAGAGGGGATGGTGCTTTTGAACGTTTGTTGGATGTTTATGCTTTGATTAAAGAGAAGGGTGTGTTTTGGGCGTTTGATAACATGGTAGAAACTGGGCAGATCCCTTATGAAGCAGTTCAGTCCCATTTCAGTGAGAAGAAGAGTGTGGTTAGACCGATAGCGCTAGGAAGTGAGGAGATTGGTAAGGTTTTAGGGCAAGTGATGTTCACAATGGGGATAGCTCCTGTTCATTTGGTTTTGCATGATTCAAGCCTGAACATGGTTGCCAATTGGGTTTCTGAAAATCCAGGGATGTTTAGGAGTGTCACTCTGGTTGATACCGGGTCAAACTCAGCTCTGCCATTAAGGATCCTGGAAGTTCCCTTGGTCAGGGAAGTTGTGTTGGGGTCTAATTTTGTATATAAAAAGTTGATCAGTACATGCTGCTCAAAAGGGATAGGTTCTGCGGATCTGGAAGCACACAGGATGGTTTCGAGAGGCAAAGATGGTTGGAGGGCTACTGTGGGCACTGAGAAGTTGCTGAATGGTAGCTTTGACATAGGTGAGTGGGGAAGTTCGGAGGGGATGAGAGGGATTCCAATTCAGGTGGTTTGGTCGAGGAGTTGGTCGAAAAAGTGGAGTGATGAGGGACGTCGAGTGTCTGAGGCTCTTCCTCGGGCGAAATTCGTCGAGCATTCTGGTGGTCGATGGCCTCAGGTAAGATATTTCTTCTGATCTATTGCTTTGCTTTGCAACCGATAAATTATCTGTATTGTGGAATGGTGATGCATGGAGATTGGTTCTGATATAGTTTTCACAATCGATCTAAGATTGTGTCCTTGCGTCTTAGTTTATCTTTATGAACTTGCTTTCAATTTCTGAGAACTTGTTTACAGTCATACGGAATTTCTAGAAGGACATTGTAGAAATTACTTTGATGTACTCGCTCTGACATTCCCTTGCCTCCATTTTTCCCACCGTACTGACATCAAGTTTTTTGAGGGAAGACTGCTTATGCGTAGAAATGTGGTGATGAAGCTGCTCTTAATTTCTCTTGAGATTTGTCGACTGCTTACTGACAACATATGGCATCCATTTTGTCTTCTTCATCCTGATATAGTTTGGTCAATAGACAATAATAGAAAACACTTTTAAGAAGCTAGCATCTGAAACCGTAGAATCTAAAAATGCTCATGTCTTGTGCTGAGATACAAGTCAAATTGGTCAGCCCTTCTCGAAACCCATTAAGTGAGCCTTCTTATCTTACAAACATCTTGTCTTCCTTGATGGTTCCCCAGTAATGGCATGTTCATGGTGCTCTTAACCTGCAAATGTTACGTTTTTTAAGCTTAGTTTCCCTTGGGCCATGTTTTTCAGAGAACAAGAACAGTCTTGAATGTCTTGTCTGAAACTGCTGTGCATGATCTCACCCTTAAAGCAGAGATGAATCCTGATGTCACGATGACTGATGAGCTACCCTTCCTCCAGATTTCACTAGGAAAGCCAAATATGTTTGCCTAGCATGATGAGTTACAAACTGTAAACAATCCCCGTTCTTGTTTAACAGTATGCATATATAGGTTAGTTCTATTTCTGATAAAAACAATTTTATGTTCAATATGGTTTGCTTAATTCAATTATTTAACATGGTTCCTTCTGCCCTAAATAGTCTTGTGTTAGTATTTCCGTGATGAATGTTTGGATTATGAAACTCAGTTTAGTTCCTCAATTTTTCTTTTGTTGGTCCCAGGAAGACACAGCCGAGGAGATAGGCGAACGAGTAGCCACATTTGTGTCATCTCTACCAAAGTCATTTAGACAAGCTGAAGAGGAGTCCATACCAGACCACATCCAGAAGCAGCTGGATGAGGCAAAACAGAATTCTCATCATCATCACCACGGCCACAGCCACAGCAACGGTCACTCTGGCCATGACCACGACCACGACCACAATCATGGACAGGCCGCAGGCTACATGGATGCCTATGGGCTCGGCCAGGCATGGGGAAGCTAGATTCTGAACACTAAGGGGCTGCTGCAACGGTGAGAGATCGACTGTTAGCATGATCTTTAACCCGAAAAATCACAAACCTCGGATGTCATATATGCCCTTTTTTTGGGTCTTGACTCTTGTTCAATTTTGCAGTTAATTCTCCCTATTCTCTATCTAGCTTAGGTCACAATGTGACTCAGGTTATCTGGTTTTCTTTCCCCCAACCCTATCTGATCATCAAATGAGCACTTGTATTGTCTATTTGGTACTTAATGATGATACTATCTCCTTTCCTCGCCCAAAAGAATCTTATTCACGCATTACTTCTGCAAAGTCATTGATTTAGTTCTCCTACTTGACGGGAACCAAGCTCATGGTATATAGTGGGATACAGTAACGGGAACCAAGCTCATGGTAACATAGTGGGATACAGATATAAATAGTAGTCTACATAGAGAAAAACTATATATTCTTGTATAGAGAACGCAGTGCAGAGAAAACACTGCATAACAGATTGAAATTCAATTCAATTGCAATGGTCACCTTCCGCAGCGACGACGTTTTATTCTAGCAATCAGTTTCCTCTTGCAGCGTCGTTTCATGAGGCAAGTTCACTTGATAGAACGATGCCGTTTTGAGGAGACGATCATCACTTGTTGGAACGATGTCGTTCCCTTCTTCTTTCGGCTGTACTTTCTTTTTATCCAAGCTATGTAATGTTTCCTTTCCAAACTTCCAAACAAACACATCCATGGAGCTTGTCCTGTAATGAGTTTGGACTGCCTATAAGAGGCAGAGTTTCTAATGAGAAAGACAGGCTTTTAGGGTTTCTCCTCACTCCATGTTCTTTGCTATGGTATCAGAGCCCGGAGTTCAACCCTAGCCGCCGCCCTCATCTTCTACAATGGCTGACAATCAAGCCCAAAATGAGCCTCAGGTGGAGCAACCCAATGTTGTTCCTCTTGCTCCTATCGATCCTTTATCCGATCCTTTCTTCCTCCATGGCTCTGAGCAGCCTGGATCTCTTCTCGTGGCAGAAAAGTTCACGACAACAAACTACAACGACCGGAACATGGCAATGTTCAATGCCCTTGCAGCCAAAAACAAAATTGGCTTCATCAATGGCACCATCCCAGAATCAGCAGCCACAGATGCTAGACATGGTGCTTGGACACGCAACAATGTCATGGTGCTTAGATGGATTCAACAGTCCACATCTCCAGACATCAGGAAGACCATTCTCTCCATCAAAACTGCAGCTGAAGCATGGAAAAGCCTTCAGACACGTTATGGATCTGGAGATCTCATCCGCATTGCTGAACTCGAAGAAGCACTCTCCACTCTTCAACAAGGTACTCAATCAGTTACTGAATACTATGGAAGAGTGATTACTTTAAGAGATGAACTGGAGAATTATCAACCACTGCGCCCTTGTACTTGTACACCTACAAGTCAGAATGATTGTGCTGCTATGATTCGAGTCCTTCAATATCAAGAAACAAACTATGTTATTAAATTCCTTCGTGGCTTAAAACAACTTTTCTGGGGTGAGAGCTCAAGTACTATTTGGAGATGAGCTCCCAAACATAAACAGAGTTTTCCAAAGGATGCTTCAACATGAACGACAACTCTATGGCACTCATACTTCCAGAATGGCTGCTTCTCTACAATCAGACTCCTCTGTTTTAGCATTTCAAGGTGCCAACAGAAGGGGTTCCACCAACTCTAAGCCACCATTCTGTACCTTCTGTAAAAGAGAAGGTCATACAGAAGATATCTGTTTTCAGAAACATGGATGGCCCCCTGGGATGTCCAAACCCACTCAATCCACTGCTGGCACTATCACTACCTGCACCTTCTGCAAAAGAAGAGGACACACAGAAGAAAAATGTTTCCGGAAACATGGCTATCCTGCTAATTTTGTTCCAATGAATGGTCCTCCTGTTCCTCCAAGAGGCAAACCTGTTGTTAACATGACCAGCACTTCTTCTACTAGCTCTGATGAAGTAAAACTCACAAGGGCAGATTATGACAAGCTTATGAGCCTCATGAATGCTCAAAAGGGTCAGTCTTCTTTCTCTGCTGCAGCCTATGTTACACAGACAGGTATCAGTTTATATTCTCTACCATCTTTACCTATATTGAGTGTCTCCCAGAGTCCACAACAGAGATGGATTGTGGACACAGGTGCTTCTGATCACATAGTATGTT